TGAGCAGTTCGTGTATGGTGACAGGTCTTCAGGGGGGACAGAGCTGTGGCGCTGTATGCGTCTATAACATTAGCATACAGGAGATCCAGTGTTCTATTTTCTCTGGTGGGGCAGTCAGCACATTGATGGAAGTTATTGGGTGTATTGTCAAGTGCTGCATGATTGAAGTCACCTGTTACCAACTCGATGGCGCCGCAGACGGTCGACAGTGTTTGATGCAGCGCTCCTTCTACTGTTTTTGTGTTTTTACCCCGGTGTTTGCTCTGGTTCCCAGAACTTTTACATCAGGGATGAACTTATAAACATCCGTGCAACAACTCCACTGGATTTATTCCCCGAGTTTCGCTCCTCTTCAAAGGACCTTTTGGATTTTTTACTCAAAGGCGCCCTGGTCATTACCAAAGCAGCGACGCGACGAGCCGGTGTGCTCGTACGGCTGCGCCGCCCCGGACTTCATATACCTCTCCCCAGCATATTCCTCTCTAACATGTGCTCACTGCCCAACAAAGTAGACGAACTTCAGCTACTTGTGCATAATAACAGAGATGTTTCCTCCTCCGCTGTCCTGTGCTTCACGGAGACATGGCTGTGTGGATTGACACCAGATCCCGAGCTTGAGCTGGCTGGGTTCCAATTGTACAGAGCAACACGGAACTGGGGGTATCTGTTTTTATATAAACGGTGGCTGGTGTAGCGATGTAACAGTGATCCTATAGTACTGCTCCAGAGAATTGGAAACTTATTATCAAGTGTAAACCCTTCTATTCTCTCCTTGAGTTCGCTTCATTCATTCTGGTCGGTGTTTACATGCCGCCGCAGACCAGCGTGCAGGAAGCCCAGCGGGCGCTCGCCAACCAGATACTGTCTGTGGAGCGGACAAATCCAGACTCCTTAGTTATTGTCCTCGGGGAAATCTCAGCCACAAGCTCCAAAAGTATGTCCAGTTTATTAAGTGCCCGACTAGGGATCACTGTTACACCACAATTCAAAATGTCTATCATGCTGTTTCTCGAGCTGCACTGGGTCACTCGGACCACACCATGGTCCTTCTGATTCCTTCCTACAGGCAGAAACTGAAACAGTGCAAACCTGTAGTGATGACATCAAGGCATTGGTCCAGTGGAGCCATTGAGGCCATTCAGGCATGCTTTGATTGTACTGACTGGGATGTGTTCAGGACGGCTACCAACAGTCTGGAAGAGTACACAGAGGCTCTGACCTCCTACATCAGCTTCTGTGAGGACAGCTGTATACCATCACGAACTAGCGTGAGCTACAACAACGACAAACCCTGGTTCACAGCAAAACTCAGATGGCTAAGGAGGCTCAAGGAAGAGGCGTTCAGGAGTGGAGACAAAGAGAGTTACAAAGAGTCAAGATACAGGTTTAGCAAGGAAGTAAGGGAAGCTAAAAGACAGTATTCTGAGAAACTTCAATTATTTAAATTTTTATTTAAGGAGAGTTGTTGTCACGCTTGCCTGCTCTGGGCCGCTCTGATATGGACTCCATCGGTGCAAAATATGAACTCCCTCCAAAGAGAGCAGGAGAAATGGGAATGTCACCCCCTCACAGCTCTCAGCACATACACGCACACACGCACGCACACACACACCAGTAACCTTCAGCACTCCTCCAGCGGATCACTGTCAGATCACTATTTGCATAACTATATGCTAAGCTCAAAAGAGAAAACTAACCACCAAATTTTATGGGTCAGCTGGCTGCAACAATCAATGTTTTACCGGGTATACTAAGGAAAAGTATCTCCAACAATCATGGAGGAGGAAAACTCCTCTCCCTCCCTCTCCAGACCTCTCCCTGTCATCAAGTCAATCCACTTACTTTATTGGCTCAACTGCTTATCAGAAACACGATTTGCAAGAATTTGCTAAAAATAAATAAATACAATAAATAATGAGTAAATGCAAATTCACGAACTGCCTGAAAATTCTCCCTTTCTCTTCCCCTCTCTCTCCCTCTCTCTTTCTCCACCTAAATACGTGAGCAAACACTTTTTCATCTATTGACTTGGGAAAGAAAATCTGGCCTAATCTTTGGGGGTGCATTCAAACATTGTATCCCTTCTTTCCTTTCCCCTTTGTTCTGCCCATGCTTTTTTCCTCCGCTTCTGCTGCTGTTGCTATGTAGTCTGTGTTTCCCTCAGTTCTTTGTTGCAAGGCTCTGTATATGTTTATAAACACACAAACGGCAGAGCGCTCATGGAATCACTGACCAGCTCTCTGGGTTAGAGTGTCATTACATATTCATTGACTTGCAGAGAAACTATTTAATCCAGTGGAAACAACCCAGTCTTCAATTGTCTCCTTTCTGCTTCACTATTCTAATGAGAAGGCGCAAACTGCAAAACAAAAAACCATTTGTGGCCCCCCGGGCTTCACTTTAAAAAAAAAGAGATGTAAAAGATGGGGGCACTGTGGAGCTGCAGGTGAAGGTTGAGCATAGGTGTTGGACCACGATGGTCATTTAACAACTTAGAGCTCAATGCCCTGAAAACAGTGGAGATGACAGTGGACTTCAGGACAACCCCACCCCCATCCGTGCCCATCACCCTGGGTGATTCTCCTGTGGATACTGTGGAACACTTCCACTTCCTGGGAACCATCATCACCCAGGACCTTAAATGGGAGCTAAACATCAGCTCCCTCATCAAAAGAGTCTAACAGAGGATATACTTCGTGAGGCAGCTGAAACAGTTCTGAAACAATCTGCCAAAGTCAATGATGTTGAACTCCTACACCTCCATCATCGAGTCTATCCTCACCTCCTCTATCTCCATCTGGTACGCTGCTGCCATGGCAAAGGATCTAGGCAGACTGCTGCCGAGAATGTAATTGGCTGCAATCTACCTTCGCTACAGGACCTGTACACCTCAAGAACCCTAAAGCGAGCAAAAAAGATTGCAACCGACCCCTCTCACAACCTCTTTGAGGCGCTTCCCTCTGGCAGGAGGTTGCGGTCCTCCTGGACCAAAACCTCTTGCCACAGAAACAGCATCTTCCCATCTGCTATTAGCCTATTAGCCTGACACCCTCACTCCACCCCCCACCCACCCCTACCTGCACACACACCCCTGCACTTAAAACAAATGTTGCATTTTCTCTACTATTCTGTATATGCCCACCCATAGGCATAATTTAATTTATTTTATCAACATGTAACTTGCATACCTTCATGTACATTTCTTTTGCTGCACTGTATGCCACAACAAATTCCTCGTAGGTGAAAACCTACCTGGAAATAAAAACATTTCTGATTCTGATTATAACCATAAATGCATCAGGGTGTTAAGTCTGTAGTTTTGCCGCTGTTGAGCCAATGACGTCACAGGCCACCGCTGCATTATCTGACGGAGGGATATAAACAGCAATAATAATGGTGGATGTAAACTCTCTAGGTAAATAGTACGGACACATTCCTACAGCCAGCAGTTCAATATCCGGGGTACAAAGCCGTTCCTTCACGTTAACTTGACCGGGATTGCACCACCTCTCACTAACGTATAGCGCAATTCTGTCACCCTTCTCCTTCCCACTTTTGGAAGAGTGTCTATCCTCCCGTATCAAACCATAATCTGGGACCTCGACGCCGTTGTCCGGGATATGTGAATGCAGCCAAGTTTCACTGAAGCAAAAATGCTACACTCACGGTTCTCCTTCTGGGTCATCACCAGCGCTACAAGTTCGTCCGTTTTATTTCCCAGAGACCTGACGTTACCCAATATAATTGCAGGGACCACTGGCTTATGTTTTCTTCTTTTCTCTTTTAATTTGGCTCCAGACTTGCAACCCCAGCGTTTCCTCCGTAACTCCTGCGGGACCACAGGTCTGTCTCCTGGCAGCAGCACAGGCACAGCGCAATTCCCCCGCTACTACCGGCGGAGTTCTCTGTGACAAAGAGTAGAAAAAGTAACAGAACATAGAGAAGAGTGAAAAAAACTTAGTCCAGCCATCGTCCAAAAAGTTTATGAACAGGTTGTGCTTAGTCCACAAAAGAAAGTGAGTAACAAAAACTAGCAAACAAAATACATTTATTTTTTTTTATTCTTTGTTATATTGCAGCCAT